GCCCCGCTCCCGCTCCCCCTCCCCCTCCCGCGGCCCCTCGCCTCACCGGAACTTTGGAACGCGGGCGCGTCCGGGACGGAGTGCAGTGACGTATGGCTGCATCTGGAGCGGGCGCCCTGGCCAACTGCCCTGCCCAGCCCCGCGCGCGCGCTCTCTCGCGCATACATCACTTTTACGAGTCCATTGTCACAATCGTGTCGCAAAAACTGGCATAGTCACCCGGCGCGCCTCGTCCGCGAACACCCCCTCATCCTCATCGCCAGTGGGCATTAACGAGCGCCAGCGCGCCCGCCCGCCCGCCCTCCACCCCGAGCCAAGTCAGCCGAGCAAGTATCTATCTCCCGCGCGGTAGTGGAAGTGGAGCGCAGGGCGAGACCCGCGGCTGTTCTTCTATCGCCGAGGTCACTGTTCGGCGGCGGGGGTGCCCAGGGGTACTTCACTCAAAAACATTCACCCCCCACCCAACAGAAAAATCAGGACAAAAAATCAGGAAAAGTTTTCAAAAAACCAGCGAAAAATTAGAAAAAATCAAGAAAAAGCAGAAAAATCTATGTACGCTCGCATTTTGGTAGTAAAGAACCAGTAGACCGCATCCGCACCTACCATCGTTTGACGTTCGGACCCCTTTCTGTCTTAACAGGCCGCTCGCATGCATGCGGCAGAGAGTTTTACTGTCTTTTACTGCCGTGAAACCGCGCGGTGGTAGGGAGCTTGGGGGCGGCGGCGGGGGGAGGCAACGTGTAGGAGGAGGTTACGGAAAGCGAGAAACCCGAGTCAAGAGGAAAAGAGCGGGGGGTCTACGGGGTACAAAGGGCGGCCGGGTGAATGTCATCATGAACGACCCCCTCCCATCAACCGACCGACCGGGGCGTGGCGTGGCGTGGCGCCGTGGCGGGTGGTTTACACCAAAAGATGAAACGGGGGCGCCATGTAGCCAACAAGCAGGCGCGGCACGGCGGTGGCGGCGGCGGGCGGCGGTGGCGTGTTTCTCCGCGGAATGAGGCGGGCGGTGCAGGCAAACGGAAGCCATAACGCACACCAGTGACTGCAGCGTGGCGGAAGGCACGCTCCCGCGCCGCCCCCGCCCCCCTCCCCGCCTGCCACCAACCCCGAAACAACAGACGCAAATAAGTAAAACGCGCATGGCGGGCGCAACGCTCCGCTATGGTTTTGCTACGCTTGCTACGGTATGGCTCGGCGCGAGCCGACGTAAGCCGACTTAATTTTAAAACTCTCTGGCCACGGAATCCATGGATTCCATGGTCCGACAATGCAATGCCTTTCAGTACAACTTAAACAGTTACTTTACCTCGTGGTGCTTGCAAGAACTTTAACTTAGTTATCTAAATTTTAAATTGTTTGTCTCTGCTTTAAGCTGTAGGTAATCACTGTGAGAGAACCTGTAAGGGTTATAGAAAAAAATTCCATGGTGTTTCTTGTGATACTACAGTTCGAAATTGTAAAATTATTAACACTCTGTATCGATTTGGAATTCATTAGCGAGCAGGAATGAGCTGTCCTTAATTGAAAATATTGTGAAATTACGAGGATACTTTTGACAGTTAGGGCAGCATAGTAACGGCAGTGACACTTTCGACGTGACGAATACAACACTGACAGACTTCTCACCTGGCGTCGGAGCGTCGATGTGCTGCTGGTCGCTGGGGAAGTCTCGGAAGTCCTCTGCAAACAGAAGAAAAAAAGGAAGCGGAATTAAATTAAGGGCGAGTGCGTACGCGCATAACACTTTATCCCCCGGCCCTTTTGTTTTTTTGACGAGCTCATACATTTTGAGTTTCAAGCGTGTTTATGTGTTCGCCACGGGGGATGTTGGTGTGAGGACCGCGTATGCCGACACAATCGCGTTGGATATGCCACAGCAGCAGCCCGGCAGGCAAAGGCGCGGAATTTTACTGCGGCGGGAAATGGCGAATTCTCACGGCCCGAGTAGTATACTGTAGTCGGTTTCCACCCTCCTTACACTCACATGTCTTCCTCCTTTCACCCTCTTATGTCTGCTATCCCGGACTCCCCCCCCCCTTCCCCCCTTCTCCCGCGCACCGGGGTCTATACTTTTCCCTGTGCTCGTTTATGGCTGGAACACGCGATGCAGACTTGAGGGGCCAACGGCGAGGAGGGGCGGTGGTGGTGGTGGTGGGCAAGGAGTACGAGGATAGGGATGGCAGAGGGGTGCGAGGTGGAGGGGGAAAGGGGGGGGGGGGTAAGAGCAGAAACGTAAGGCCTGCAGGCGTCAAATCTTTACGACGGTATGTTTCAGGCCGGCGGCGCCTCTCCCCGACCATTGCCACTGTGAGCGTGCGAATGTGAGTGTGTGTGTGTGTGGTTGTGTGCGTGCAGCGCGGAAATATGGGATAAAAATGACCTGGGGCGGTGCGGTCCTGTGGAGGGTGTGGTGGGGGCTCTTAAGTTGCGGTGCAGATATCGCAGAGTGCCATGTGAAGTACCGTCCCCCTCCAGGTAGGTCCTGTGGCGACGCGCGGTCACGCGGGGGCACCCGGGGGGGACCCCGACTGACTGCTCACCTTGCACCTGCAGCACGATGGCGAGGCTCATCTTGGGGTCCGTGTTGACCTGGCACTCGTAGCGGCCGGAGTCCTCGGGCCGCACGCCGGACACCTTGAGCGTCCAGGCGTCGCCGCCGCCCCCGTGCCAGACGGAGAAGCGCAGCGACGAGGCGAACACCGTCTCGCCGTGCGTCAGCACCTGGATGGGCTCCGTGCGCATCCACAGCACCTGCGGGCCGGGCGGAAACGAAACAAGGAAACTTTAGTATAGCCACGCAAAAAAGCCTGTTTGTTAAAATAGCAAACTTTAGGTCCTTGCGTTTTGCTGTTGCAGCAAACACATTTTGTTTTCGCTGTTTTAGCAAAAGGTTTTGCTGTTTCAGCAAACATTTTGCTAAAACAGCAAAATCTTTTGCTATCTCTGCTAAATGTTTTGCTGTAACCATAGCGACAAACTATCTTCTCAGCTATGGTCACAGCAAAACATTTAGCAGAGATAGCAAAAGATTTTGCTGTTTTAGCAAAATGTTTGCTGAAACAGCAAAAACTTTTGCTAAAACAGCGAAAACGAAAATGTGTTTGCTGCAACAGCAAAAGGCAAGGACCTAGAGTTTGCTATTTTAACAAACAGGCTTTTTTGCGTAAGAATCAATCGATGCGCAAAAAGAGCGACTCATATTTAAATCACTATACATTCGACACTTCAAAAAACAAACAAACAAAACAATCACACTACACTATTGAATTCCTGCAAAGTAATGCTTAAGTATTTAGATCCTTTGTAACTCCCGAAGCATTAACTTGGCAATTACAAAGTGTTGCTTTGCAAATTGCCGAGGCAATTGCGAAGTAAATGCTTCGAAGTTACAAAGGATCTAAGTACTTTATTGCAGCTCTGCAAAGCATTGCTTTGATGGAATCTAACAGTTCAGTACGTATACTGGGTATATTCCAACATCCCATCCTTTGTCTATCGCCTCGTCTACGACACAATTTGAAAAACATCGGCTTCCAGAAGAACCTTTTCCTTATTTTTATTTTTGTATTTTATTTTTGGGGGACGTAAGAGCCTATAATCGCTCGGGCCACGTGTCATTGACAAGCACTAAGGAGATCTAGCGAGAGCGTTGAAGCGAAAATAATTTGGTGTACGGCTGGGAGCAGTGCAGTAGCAGCAGCAGGAGCGCACCAAGCACACATGGCCTGAGAGGGGCGGCGGCGGTGGTGGTGGTATACTCGCATTAAAATAATCACCTCGCCAATTTGTGCGCTGGTAGGGCTTGCTTAGGTTGGCTGCAGCAGCGCTGTGCGGCCGCGCGGGGGACCGGGGAGGGCAAGGAAGGAGTGAAGGTGGCCAGAAGGGAGGGAGAGAGAGAGCAGAGCAGAGCTGGCGGAGAGAAGCCAACCAGCGCCACGCGGCGCAAACTTCGCGCTTATAGCGCTCCGACTCTTCCACTCTTCCCCGCCCCCACCTACTCTCCCCCGCAGGCCCCCGGAGACCAGAGCGCTCCCCCCCGCGGGGGCG